CCAAATGCAAGAGAGGGCAGTGGAGAGGCCCTGCCTGGCGGGTCTGAGTGTGAGGTGCCGCTCATGGGCTTCCCAGGGCCCGGCCTCCAGTCACCACTCCACGCAAAGCCCTATATCTAAGCCAGGGAGAGACAGGGCTAGCCAGGACCGGGCTCTCAGCCACTGAGACGGCCAACCCTCTTCTGCTGCCACACGACGAAGTTCTCAGTCCCAACCTCGGGGACATGTGCAGGCCGGGCTGTGTGACCACAGCTGGGCCCTGCCCTCTGTACCTCGGTTTCCTCATCTGTGAGATGCTGCGGCCCAGTGACGAGCTCTAACATCCCCAGAGCCGAGTGCCTATGAGAATGGCGTCCACCCCACCCTCCGCAACGTGCAATCCCTGGGCATGGCGGGCCCTGCCATGTGCTGGTAACATAGGCCTGGACCCTGCTGGGCTCTCCTATCCCAAGCAGACCTTGGGGGCCAGTGAAGGAAGCCCCCAAAAAGAGCAGAGGGAGGGCAGGTGGGCGATGGGGCTGTGTGACTCTAGCCTCGACCCCAGGAAGCGAAGGAACAAAAGAAACTGGAAAGGAAGATGCTTTAGGAACATGTTTTGCTTTTTTAAAAAAATATATATATATTTATAAGAGATCCTTTCCCATTTATTCTGGGAAGATGTTTTTCAAACTCAGAGACAAGGACTTTGGTTTTTGTAAAACAAACAATGATATGAAGGCTTTTTGTAAGAAAAAATAAAAGATGAAATGTGTTTCTTAGGCTCAGTCCCAGGGTAGAAGGGCTGGGTGGAGGGATATGGAGAAGGGATGGCCCTCGCTGTGGGAGCTGGGGCCCTCAGTCGGCACCCCCTGGGCTTGCTGTGGGAGCTGGACTGCCTCTGGCCTCGGACAAGGACTGGTCAGGGAACCTTACCTTCCAAAGGGCCCATCTTCTGCCAGCGGGAGCTCTGGCCCATGTGGGGCTGGGAGAGTCTCATGGCAGACATGGGGCCAGGTGAAGTCCTCCTGGGTTGGTCTGAGGGGCATTTCACTGCCTGCCTTCCTCTGGGGACAGTGCCCTGGGCACTCTCATTCCAGGCCTCATGGGGATGGTCCTGGGACTAGGTGGCCTCCAGGACCTTCCCTACAAGGTCCCAGGAGAGCCAGATGATTTGCATGGCCCCAATTCTCGCCTGCCACCCCACTGCCCAGCATGGGTGCAACAGGAAATCCTGCTCCTTGCCTCCTGCCTGTCTGTAGCGAGGGCCTTGGTGGGAAGGGAAGTGTGAATCATCAAAGGCAGGGACCCCATGGACAGGCTGGGACCAGGACCAAATGGCCCAGGCTGGTTTGCAGATGGCGCCATGATTGGTGGCCTTGGGATGCCCCCTCAACCTCTGCACTAGGGATGTGCCCAGGCTTTCTGGAAACCCCGGAAACGGGAGTATTTTCCAGGAAGGCTGCATGCTGAGGTGGGGGCAGGGATGCTAAGTGTGGCTGTGACCTGGACTAGGTGCAGGGAGCTTGGGGATAGTGATGGACACACAGCACCTTTTCCTGTTACCCTCAGTGGGAATGAGAGGAGGGGCCCACTGGGCTACAGGGATGTCCTGAACATGCTGGAGTGAGCCTCCTGCAGGCCCCATGCCACTGTCCCACAGGTCATGGCCCCGGCACCACACCCCTGGCGGGACAGAGTCAGCCCAGCCAGACCCAGAGAGCAGGCCCCGCAGCGAGGGTGATGATTTCAGCACCAAGTCAGGCCCAGCCACGCGAGGCTCTGGATTCAATTAGCGGCTGCTGAGGGCTCTGGCAAGAGGAGGGAGGGGGTGGGCCGTGGGTCATGGCGGGCAGTGGGTGGTGGCAGTGGGCCTGGGTGGGGCCCCTTCTTCCTGAGGCAGCAGGGGCAGTCCAGGTGGATTTCCTGTAGGCCTGGGTCCCATTACGGGAGTGGCTGCGGCCAGGCCTGCCTCCCCCTGCCTGTGGCTGCCTCATCAAAGGGGCCTTTGTGGGCCTGAGGCCGACGCTGAACACAGTGGCTGCCGAAGAAATGTTTTCACTGCAAAGCGAACCTGGACGAGTGGGATGGTGACGGAGGGTAGGGGTAGGGGGTGGCAAGACCCAAAGAAAGGAAGTCTTCCGAGGAATGGTGTCTGGAGTGTGCCATCAAATTAGGGCTTTGGAGAGGGGCGAACACAGCCAGAGGGCGACCAAGCTGAGATGTAGCCTCAACCCAGGACGAGCCCGCTGACTCTAGGCCAGGGACCAGGGGCAGACCCGAGGGTGTGCAAGCCCCCATCACCGGGAGCTGACCGCAGCAGGCCCTAGGCCATGCAGGCAACACATGCTCGTTTTATGCCCGGTAACCTCGTCTATCGAAAGGAGTGGCCACAGGGAGGGAAGACAGCATGCTCACGGTAAGTGGAGACAGGACCCCAATACCTGCTCCCTAGCTACTGATAGGGCCGCCTACCACTTGGGAGGGCTTAGGGCCACTGTGAGCTGCAGACCCTACTTCTATGGAGGTAAGTGGAGTGATACAGTTCACCCAGCTCCTTCACAAGCATTCACACACTCAGCCCCGCTCAATGCCACCCAGAAGCATGGCACCCGAGACAGGTGTATTTCTGTGTCTCCAAGACCAAAGCATGAGCTGTTCCTTTGGTGTAGGCTGCTGGTCCTCTCGTTATCCCCACACCTCCACCCTGTGCCAAGCACGGGGCCAGGCACACAAAGTGCTGGGCAGCCCTCCGTGGACCAGCTGCCTCAGCAGAGACAGGACCTTGGCGTGCAGGGCTGGCCTGGCTCCCAGTCCCTGCTCCTTCCACTGTGGTTTTCCCTCAGGTATTCCATGAATGCCAAGGGGAGGGCATAGATGGGACCACAGAGGAGGCCCCTGGGTGAGGATGAGGAGGGGATGGGCGTGTACATGACCCCAGTCCTCCTCTAGCTCTCATAAGGGCACACACTGTTCTGCCCAAGCCAAGGTGGAAAATCTGTAAAACAGAACTCAAGGGTGGCGGAGTGGATGCAGTTGCCAACCTCCCCATCAGCTGTGCCCACAGTTAACACCCCAGAGTCTCCATGCTCAGCTCAGACTTGTTCAGCAGCCTCAGCACCCAAGGGAGTCAGTGGGGGGCTCTGGCTTCCAGGACACCTGGGGGTGCAGGGGACCCGCCACCTCTCAGAACAGCCAAGGAGTTGGCACACATCCTTAGCATCTGCCAGCTTTGTGGGGGCTGGCAGAGCAGGGGCCAGGGCTGGGGGACAGAGGGAGGAGGACCCTGGCCTAGCCACCCATCTGGGAGTGATTTGAGAAATTCCAGTCCTCACTGGTCCTTCAAGGCTATTCTTAACTGTGGTAATTACAGGATTAGCCTTGGCCAGTGGCACCATGGGGTCTGGGCATCATTAACTCCTCCAGAGGCCACACTGGGGCCAGGCAGAAGATGCTTGCAGGGGAGTGGGGGGACCCTGTCTCTGGGGACAGAGCCTGGAAAGCAGGAAGTGGTGGGTGGAAGTGACTGGTGCTTGGTCCCTTCACATCAATGCTTGGGGCCCGCGAGGGAAGGAGGGCTGACCTAGAAAGGTCTAGAAGACAAAATGCCAGGCAGCTCTGGGCCCGGGGTCGGGGCCATGGGGCCAGATACTAGACGTGGAGTCTGAAGGCCAGGGAGCTCTGACTCCTCCAAGGGAGGGCAGGTTCCACCAACTCCTCCCTGAATCCCTGGTGCCCAGAACAGGCAGGAGGCTGAGGGCGGCCCTGATTCTGCCGCTCACCCTCCACGTGGCTTCAGGGAAGGTACTGAATCTTGCTCAGCCTTGCTTTCCTCATCTGTAAAATGGGCCTTGCCAGCTTCTCAGGCCCTCCCTGGGTGTAAGAGGATGGGAGAGAGTGTCACTGTCACCCTGACTGCTACCCTTCCTCTGGGAGGCTCTCAGCCTGGGGAAGCCCCTGGCAGGAACTCTCACTGGCACTCAGGTGGGAGCTCTTTTAGGGACTCCCAGGAAGATACCACAGCCTTTCTTACCCCCAGAGCCTGGACAGATCACTGTTGCCTGTGACTCAGTTTCCTCAGTTATGCAATGGAAGAAGGAACAAGCTTGCCAAGGACCAGCCCTTTCCTGGCTCTGACGTCCTCGGATCCCCCTGCCTTTGAAAGTTCCAGCAAGGCCCTCATGAGTCACGGCTGAAGCTTCAGAAGGGGGATGGAGTCCCTGCCTCTCCACGGCCCTGCCTAAGTCTCTGAACCACCCCCAGCCTCAGTTTCCCCAGCTGTGTTATTGGTGGTCACTCATAAAACCTCACCCTGGGCCTCATGGTGTCTGGCTCCTTAGCTGTAGTGGGCCAAGGCCATCTCTGCACAAAGCTGACCCCACCTGGCCAGGACCCCGCCAGTCACTGCCAAAAGCTCTCTCCACACAGTTCTGGGGGCGGATGGAAGGATGAGGTGCACTTGGAGCCCCCGAGGCTGCCTGGGCACCAGCCCCACCTGGGGACAGACCTCAAGACAGAACAGGACAGCCAGGTAGCTGGTGTGGAGTAGGCTGCGCATAAACTTCAGTGGGCCATATAAGCTGAGGCCTACCTCCACCTCCAACTGGCCAGGCTGCCCCATGTTGCCCACGTCCACCTGCCTATAATAGCCTGGGGCCTCCTTGGGCCTCAGCCCTGCCAGAACGTCCACAGAAAAATCAAGCGCATTCTTGTACTTCCAGACCATACCCTCTCCCTGAATGCCAAGCATATCTGTGTCAAGCCCCAGCTGTGACGCCTTTGGTGACCAAGAACCCACTCTGTTGCTAGGGACCAGAGGAGCACCTAAGCACCTGCTTCTGGTGACATCTGGAATCTCTGGGGTACGGGGCCAGGTGTCTGTTGCAAGGCCTTGCAACCCAGCTCAGGGACCCCAGAATACCCTGAAGATCAGCCTGCCTCACGGATAGGCCAGATCAGGTGATCTCACCAGCAGCACCCTGGGTCCTCAGCCTCCCAGCCCACCTGTGCGCCTCAGCTCCTACCCGGGCGAGGTGTCCAAGGTGAGGGAAGCCAGGGCGCTGGAGAAGAGCCGCGTGTCCCACAGCTTCACTTCGTGCTCACGCATCTGCAGGGGGGGCACGAGAGGGGGTCAGAGGGGCCTGTCCCTCAGCCCTACCCGGGGGCTCCCAGGAAACCTAGCGCCTGAGGATGCAGCCTGGCATGGGGCACCTGCCCCAGAGCAGGACTTGGAGTGGGGTGGGAGTCACCCCAGGGAAAGAGAGTTTGGGTTTTCATGCTCTGCCCCTTTAAGAACCCTTAGGTGACAAAGGATGAGGGGCGGTTCCCCCCGTGGACTCAGTCCCTGTGGGGCCACCATGGCTCCTGGGGTCAGACTGAGCTATTGCAAATGGAATCTGCCAGTTTCCAGCAGCCGTCAGTCCCCTGAGGCTCTGAGACCCAGCCGCACAGCCAGGCCGTATATGGACAGGCCTGGAACTGACCCTCTGTCCCCTGCCTCCCAATGGCTTCATCCCCGCCCGAAGGGCTGGACGCGTTCCCACCTGGCTGTGCCCTGCTCCTCCAGGAGGAACCCCCTACCTGGTTGAATCCAGTGGACACGAGGTGCTCCTGGGTACCCATCCATGCCAGCCGGCTGTCCCTGCCGTTCTCATGGGCCTCCGTGCTCTGCAGGAGGCAAGGGGCAGACCTGAGCCACAAGGGCTGCTACTGGTGGGCGGGGCCCCCTAGAGTGGGCCTGAGCTGGGGAACTTCTGCTGCCCACCTGCCTGAATGCCTCACAGAGGGTGGGAAGGTCCGAAGCACCCCGGGGATCTGCCCCGCCTCCACCCCAACTAAGAGCAGCTCTGCATCCAGCGGCCAACCTGGCCACCGGACGAGGGCTCAGAGTCCCTCCTCCTGAGGAGAGGGCTGCCTCGCTCCCCAGCTCCAGACCCCTTCTCCACTGTGCCGAGGGCTAAAGGCACTGGCACTTTCTTGTGCCCATGAGCTGTGTGACCCTGGGGACGCCACACTCTCTCAAAGCCTCATTTTTCTTGCTTGTGTAAGGGGCTCACAGTGCTATGCCACCCACTTCCGAGGGCTGTGGCCATGTGGAAGGGCAGGGCCTGTGGCAAAGCACCGTGTAAATCGGGGGATTTCAGGGATCACTGCAGCCACCCCAGACAGGAGGTAGGGCCTGGGACCCACCTCTGGGCAATGTCCAGAGAGTGCCAAACAGTGCCTCTCCTGCCCTCCCGAGGAGCTGGAGTTGCCAGGAAGAAGGTTCCCAGCCCCTCACCACACCCCCAGCCCCCAGGAGAGGGAAGCTCACATGGTAGGTGGGACCCTGTCCTCCTGCTGGCAGGGGGAGCTAAAGGGGCCAGAGGAAATGCAAACAGCTCCTCCCAGTCACCCTGGCCCCTGGAGCCTGAGACGAAGGACCCTGTTACCAAAAATAGCTCACCCCAAACCATGGCCAGCTTCCTCCGAGCTTCCCACGATCTCCTTGGGAATGAATGAGGGAGGGAAGCAGCCTGTGAGGAGCTGGCCCAGGGCCCCCTCCCCAGCCCATGGTGGCTGACCCCAGCGTGGGAGACCATCAGAAACGGCTCCAGGTCCCGTCCTTTGAGGGGCTTTTCTCACTGTTCCCTTCCCACCAGGCCTTGGCCGGCACAGGAAGTTGGGACTGTAGCCTGAGAACCAAGGCCCTACCACCCTCTCTCCATGTAAGAGGGGATATCGGGTCAAGACAAGGGTTGGGCCATTGGCCAGCCCTGCCCCCCAGCACCCCAGAGAGGGTCACAGTGTCATTCAGGCTCCTGCCCTCTCGCTGGTGTTTGGTGTGCAAATATCCCTGGGTGTATAGCCCACCAGGTGTCTCCCAGCTTGTCCACAAGTCATTCATTCATTCAAGAAACACAGAGAGTTCTCAGAGAGAGGGCAGGTGCTGGTGAGGGGGTGGGCGGGGAAGCAGGGCCCCTCATTCATCTGTTCTCTTGTCAAACGGATATTTGACCTACACTGTTAGAGGTGACATGGTGAACAAAATGGAAAAGGTCCCCATGCCGGTGGAATAAACACGTTGGGGAGGCAGATGTGGGCCAAACAGAAATCTATACGTCATTCCCCGTGACTGTAAGTGCCATGGAGGAGCCGCATGGCGTCAAGGAAGCAAGCTCTGGAGTCGGACCAGCCTGGAGAGGCCCAGCCCGGCCACCTCAGCTACCCCCCACAGTGGGTTCCTCACCGGCTCTGTGCCTCAGTTTCTGTGTCCGTAAAAAGCACTGTAACAGAACCTACTTTTTTTTTTTTAACCTTTCCTGCCGGGCGCGGTGGCTCAAGCCTGTAATCCCAGCACTTTGGGAGGCCGAGGCGGGTGGATAACAAGGTCGAGAGATCAAGACCATCCTGGTCAACATGGTGAAACCCCGTCTCTACTAAAAATACAAAAAATTAGCTGGGCATGGTGGCGCGTGCCTGTAATCCCAGCTACTCAGGAGGCTGAGGCAGGAGAATTGCCTGAACCCAGGAGGCGGAGGCTGCGGTGAGCCGAGATCGCGCCATTGCACTCCGGCCTGGGTAACAAGAGCGGAACTCCGTCTCAAAAAAAAAAAAAAAAAAAACGGCCGGGCGCGGTGGCTCAAGCCTGTAATCCCAGCATTTTGGGAGGCCGAGGCGGGTGGATCACGAGGTCAAGAGATCGAGACCATCCTGGTCAACATGGTGAAACCCCGTCTCTACCAAAAATACAAAAAATTAGCTGGGCATGGTAGCGCGTGCCTGTAATCCCAGCTACTCAGGAGGCTGAGGCAGGAGAACTGCCTGAACTCAGGAGGCGGAGGTTGCGGTGAGCCGAGATCGTGCCATTGCACTCGAGCCTGGGTAGCAAGAGTGAAACTCCGTCTCAAAAAAAAAAAACAAAAACTATGCCAGGCATGGTGGCTCACGCCTATAATCCCAGCACTTTGGGAGGCAGAGGTAGGGGATCACTTGAGGTCAGGAATTTGAAACCAGTCGGGCCAACATAGCGAAACCCTGTCTCTGATAAAAATACAAAAATTAGTTAGGTGTGGTAGCAGGTGCCTGTAATCCCAGCTACTCAGAAGGCTGATAAAAATACAAAAATTAGCTAGGTGTGGTAGCAGGTGCCTGTAATCCCAGCTACTCAGAAGGCTGAGGCAGGAGAATTGCCTGAACCTGGGAGGCAGAGGTTGCAGTGAGCTGAGATTGCTCCATTCCACCACAGCCTGAGAGACAGAGTGAGATTCCATCTCAAAAAAATAAAATAAAATAACTCCCCCCTCCAAAAAAAAACCACAAAGTAGCTTGGCGTGGGGACACTTGCCTGTAGTCCCAGCTACTAGGGAGGCTGAGGCAAGAGGATTGCTCGAGCCTAGGAGGTCAAAGCTGCAGTGAGCCACGCTGGCGCCACTGCGCTCCTGCCTGGGCTACAGAGCAAGACCCGTGTGCTGGCCTTAGTAAGCCTCAGAGAACAGTCCTCTCCCCAGCTCCTCATTCTCCTGGGGAGGGGGCAAGAGCAGGGGCTGCAGCTGGGACCCAGGCATCCTATTACCCTGCAACCCCAAGAGGGACCCCACCACCTGGCTCTGAGAACAGGAGGGGCTGTGGCAGGGCAGTGGCAGCTGGGGGTGTAGGAGGGGAGGCGCATGCCCACCCTTTCCTCTCCATGGCAATATTGCCTGTACAAGGCAGGGTGGCTCCAGGAGCAGCCTGGCTCCTTGCTGGGGTGAGGGGACCTGCTTCAATAGTAAGATTCCTCCACTTACCCTCTTCCCTACTCTGAGGCTCACCACCACCCACAGGCCTGTCTGATGTACCAGGGTGCTCTGAGGGCTTGACCCAGGGCCCCCTTCTGCTCAGAGAAGGATCCTGAGGCCGTGACACTCATTTGGAGCTGCCACTTCCCTGGAACAGCCTGGGCTCCAGGGTCTCACCCAGTGCCAGCTAGGGTAGTTGTGCAGGGAAAGGGGTTACGGGGGGCTTGGGGGTTCTGCAATCAGATGGGCAAGCCTGCCTCTGCCACCCTGAGGTGGGACCCTGGAGAAGCCACAGAACCATCCAACCCTAAGGGTCTACACATCCAAGGAAATCAAATGTGCCAAGTACCTGGCATGTAACAAATGGTCACATGCACAATCTTAAGAATCAAGCAGGGGCATGGGCAGGAGGAGCCACCCCAGGGTCTTCTGCTCCAAGCTCACGCCTGAGGCTGGCTCCAACAAGGAGGACTCCCTGGCCCACTCCAGGCTCTGGGACAGCACCGGGGCTCAGGTGGGGTGGGGTGGGACCCACAGAAGACACAGGTTGGATGGAGGGCAGGCGGCCCTGTTCCCTGACCCCCAGCCACAGCCCACTAGTCAGGAAGCAGGATCACTGGGGAGGGCGGTCCCAGAAGGACTCTCCCTCAAGCCGGCCCGGCCCCTTGGCTCACACCGGCCCTGGCTGCCAGCAGTGGTTTTCTTAATAGAAGCCAGGTGTGGGCCAGATGCCCTGGGCGGAAGTGGGGGGCAGGGCCACACGGAGAGCGGCATTCCAGGCCTGCTGCCCCCGCACCAGGGCCCGAGCACAGGCCCCAGCCAGCAGCTGGAAGGGGTGGGAGCCACCCACGCTCTTCCCAGGTCTCCTTGCCCCAAAGCCCTATTCTCCAGAACCAGATCCCCTCTTCTCTCTTCAAGGAACTGGGAGCCCCCTTGGACAGCAGCCATTCTATCCCCACCTCGGCATCAGTCACCGCCCCCAGCCCTGCTGGAAGAGGAGAGAGGAGGAAGGCTGAAGAGAGGGGGCAGAGGAGGGGAGAAGAGGAAGAATCGCGTGGGCCCAGGAAGCTGGCTCAGAGCCGTGCCCGGTAGATCAGGTAGCAGAATAGGTGCCCTGGCAGTGCCCTGGGCTCTGGGGAGGAGAGTGCAACCTGAGAAAGTGCAGGGGGGCTGGGGGAGCCTCCATGGCACCTTCAAGCTGAGCCTGGGTCTTGCTTTCTAGGCAAACCCTTGGAGGTCAAAGAAAACTACCAAGTGAGGAGACTGCCCACACCCATACTGCCTTGAGACACAGATGCCCACCATCTACCAGGCCCAGGTCCCACATGATGAAGAGGTCAGCCAGCCTTGCCAGCAAGTATGACCAGAGTGTGGCCAAACCCGCTGTGCCCGCTAGTTCCACTGGTTAAACAGGCGACCTCTCGGCTGGACAGAAGTGGAACTGACTGGACCATTTGTGCTAAAAAGCTGCAATCTTTGATGTGATTGGGTTTCTCTCTTGAGTGTGCATGTGTAGTGGGCTCCAGGGCTTTGGGCTACCGATAGTTTGGTTTGGGCTGGTGGTTTGCCTTTGACCCTGGGGGGGGAAAAGTCCTAGAGATGGGGAGGGGGTGTCTGTGATGGGCCTAGGTCTTTGCTGAGGAGCTCCTCCCCTGAGCTGACAGGACCCTAAATTTTACCTTTCTCAAGAAAGAAGCCTCCTCAGCTTCTAGAAAGTTCTTTTTAGAAATATAAATCCACTCATCAAACTTCCTGCTTAAAACTCTCTAATGGCCTCCCACAGCCCAGATGACTGCGGGCCTGTATCTCCCAGCACGCATGCAGACTCTGGGGATGAGCCTGTCTTCCTCCAGGCTGTCTATGCCTGGCCTCTTGTATTACTCAGGCCTCCGCTCCCCAGCCAGTTGCTCAGGGAAGCACTAAACCAGCCCAGCAAGAGAAGCCCCCAGCAACCAACCCGGGGCAGGCCCGTCCCGGGGTAGTTGCTCCTGCCTACAAGGTCTCTGTAGGGCAAATGAACGGCGCCCTAGACTGAATGCCCAGGTATGAACTAGGTCCCAGCTTCCCTACTCAGAACTGAAACGGCCACGCACACTACATGCACAGACACAAACCAAAACACGCTCAGGCCTTGCACGTTTGGCAGGTCCCACCCAGAGTCTCCCTGCAGAGGGCAGGGGCTGTTTTTGGCTCCTCTGCGGCTGGTCTCTGCTGACCGTGCCAGGGTGAAGGTCTCAAAGGAGAGAAGGAAGTGGGAATCTCAGATCACTGCCTGAAACCACAGGGTGGCCTCCGCCAAGAGCCTGGGGGCAGCTTAGCTCTGCCCACCCTGTGATCAAAGCCAGGCCCTCCCAGGACCCAGAACACACTTCCCAGGAAAAACTCCCAGCAGTGACAGCCCACCTCCTGGGAACCCCTGGTGCTGCGGAACATGTCTGCCAGGAGCCCAGGCCTGCCCCTGCCTCTACCTGATAGAACAGGCATCCCCCAACTATGGCCCGCGGGCTGCATGCAGCCCCCTGAGGCCATTTATCCGGCCCCCCCCCGCCGCACTTCAGGATGGGGCACCTCTTTCATTGGTGGTCAGTGAGAGGAGCACAGTATGTGGCGGCCCTCCAACGGTCTGAGGGACAGTGAACTGGCCCCCTGTGTAAAAAGTTTGGGGACGCCTATGCTAGAACCACTGGGTCCTCAGCCTGAGCAGAGGCCTCAACCCACCCCAGCTGCCCACACAACTCACCTGAGAGGCCTGCGGCTTTGCTCTGGGGTCAAAGATCCGCAGCTGCTTGTCCTGGAAAAGCAGAGAGGAAAAACGACTTGTAATTAGGGCCTGAGGGCTCCTGGGGGCCAGCCCATCCCCCACCCCCCCAAGGCTGGCATCACACACCAGGGGCTAGAGGGTCCCTGGGGTCAGCCTGTCCCCACACCCCGGCTCTGAGCAGACCACCCCCAGTACACAGGGCTGGCATTACACCAGGGCATCCCTCCTCAGCCCCACTGCTCCCTCTCAGCACAGCGGCAAGCACACCCAGTCCCCCAGAAAAGCAAGCTCAGTGAGTGTTCACCTTCTTGAGACCTACTGCACACCAGGCATACCAGACACCTGACCCCTCCTCGTTGTGCAACTACCCTGTGAGGTGGTGCTATCACCACCATGACCCCTCAAAGACAAACAGAGGTCCAGAACCAAACTCTAGGCTGTGACCACCACATACATGCTCAGCCCTGTGTTAGCTCCGGCATGCAGGGGCTCATACGATGACCTCATTTCTGCACTCACGGAGTTTAGCACCTAACCAGAAAGATGAGGTTATACCTGCTAACCATCCATTCAGCACAGTTACTGATTCAGATTGTCCAAAGGGAAGATGAAAAAAGACAAAAAAACAGAAAAAAAAGGACTGAAATAAAACATCCATGCTTTGTATAGAACCTTCTTTCTGTGGAACAATCTATGTGTATGTCCATGCACACGTGTGTATATGTGTGTGCGTGCACACAAACATGCACACATAAAGAACGAGGGCAGGGCCAGGCGCGGTGGCTCATGCCTGTAATCCCAGCACTTTGGGAGGCTGAAGCGGGTAGATCACCTGAGGTCAGGCGTTCAAGACCAGACTGGTAAACATGGTGAAACCTTGTCTCTACTAAAATGCAGAAGGAAAAAAAAAAAAAGAAAGAACCAGGGCAGAATCTGTATCCGCTGACTACTTAAAGGCTGGGTCGCGCCGGGCGCGGTGGCTCAAGCCTGTAATCCCAGCACGTTGGGAGGCCGAGGCGGGTGGATCACAAGGTCGAGAGATCAAGACCATCCTGGTCAACATGGTGAAACCCCGTCTCTACTAAAAGTGCAAAAAATTAGCTGGGCATGGTGGCACGTGCCTGTAATCCCAGCTACTCAGGAGGCTGAGGCAGGAGAATTGCCTGAGCCCAGGAGGCGGAGGTTGCGGTGAGCCGAGATCGCGCCATTGCACTCCAGCCTGGGTAACAAGGGCGAAACTCCGTCTCAAAAAAAAAAAAAAAAAAAAAAAAAAAAAAAAAAAAAAAAAAAAAAAAAAAAAAAGGCTGGGTCATAATAATTTTTTTCTTTTCTTTTTTTGAGACAGAGTCTCGCTCTGTCGCCCAGGATGAAGTGCACTGGCGAGATCTTGGTTCACTGTAACCTCTGCCTCACTGGTTCAAACAATTCTCCTAAGTCTCCCGAGTAGGTGGGACTATAAGCTCGCGCCACCATGTCTGGCTAATTTTTTTATTTTCAGTAGAGGCGGGGCTTTCACCATGTTGGCTAAGGTCTTGAACTCCTAACCTCATGCTCCACCTGCTTTGGCTCCCAAACTGCTAGGATTACAGGTGTGAGACACGCATTGTGCCCGGCTTTTTTTTTTTTTTTCTTTTTTGAGACAGAGTTTCTCTCTGTCACCCAGGCTGGAATGCAGTGGTGCCGTCACGGCTCACTGCAACCTCCACCTCCCGGGTTCAAGAGATTCTCCTGCCTTAGCCTTCTGAGTAAGTGGGATTACAGGAGCCCACCACCAAGCCCGGCTAATGTTTTGCATTTTTAGTAGAGTTGAGGTTTTGTCATGTTGGGTAGGCTGGTCTCGAACTCCTGATCTCAGGTGATCTGTCTGCCTTGGCCTCCCAAAGAAGTGTTGGCATTACAGGCGTTAGCCACCATACTGGCCTTTTTTTTTCTTTTGAGACAGAGTCTCGCTCTGTTGCCTGAGCTAAAGTGCAGTGGTATATTCATAGCTCACTACAAAAACAACCTCCTGGACTCAAGCAATCATCCCACCTCAGCTTCCCAAGTAGCTGAGACCACAGGCACATGCCACCAGGCCCTGCTAATGTTTTCATTTTTCTGTTGCAGAGATGAGGTCTCACTATGTTGACCAGGCTGGTTTTGAACTCCTGGCCTCAAGCAATCTTCTGCCTCAGCCTCCCAAAGTGCTAGCATTATATGTGTGAGCCACCACGCCTGGTTTAAATATACATTTTAAAAATATGGCCAAGCGCGGTGGCTCAAGCCTGTAATCCCAGCACTTTGGGAGGCCGAGGCAGGCAGATCACGAGGTCAAGAGATCAAGACCATCCTGGCCAACATGGTGAAACCCCGTCTCTACTAAAAATACAAAAAATTAGCGGGACATAATAGCATGCACCTGTAGTCCCAGCTACTAGGGAGGCTGAGGCAGGAGAATTGCTTGAACCCAGGAGGCAGAGGTTGCAGTGAGCCGAGATTGTGCCACTGTACTCCAGCCTGGAGCCTGGCAACAGAGTAAGACTCTGTCTCAAAACCACACACACACACACACACACACACACACACACACACAAATGGCCAAAAAGCATTAAGAAAAGATGTTCGATATAATGCCTGCCTGTTATATTTTTTATTTTTATTTTTTTAATTAATTAATTTATTTATTTTTTTGAGATGGAGTTTCGCTCTTGTTACCCAGGCTGGAGTGCAATGGCGCGATCTCGGCTCACCGCAACCTCCACCTCCTGGGTTCAGGCAATTCTCCTGCCTCAGCCTCCTGAGTAGCTGGGATTACAGGCACGCGCCACCACGCCCAGCTAATTTTTTGTATTTTTAGTAGAGACAGGGTTTCACCATGTTGACCAGGATGGTCTCGATCTCCTGACCTCGTGATCCACCTGCCTCGGCCTCCCAAAGTGCTAGGATTACAGGCTTGAGCCACCGCGCCCGGCCAATTTATTTATTTTTTGAGATGGAGTTTCACTCTCGTTACCCAGGCTAGAGTGCAATGGCGCGATCTCAGCTCACCGCAACCTCCGCCACCTGGGTTCAGGCAATTCTCCTGCCTCAGCCTCCTGAGTAGCTGGGATTACAGGCACGTGCCACCATGCCCAGCTAATTTTTTGTATTTTTAGTAGAGACGGGGTTTCACCATGTTGACCAGGATGGTCTCCATCTCTTGACCTTGTGATCCACCCGCCTTGGCCTCCCAAAGTGCTGGGATTACAGGCATGAGCCACTGCGCCCGGCTATATTTTTAAAAAATAGCAACATGGGCCGGGTGCGGTAGCTCATACCTGTAATGCCAGCACTCTGTGAGCCCAAGGCAGATGGATCACCTGAGGTCAGGAGTTTAAGACCAGCCTGGCCAATGTGGCGAAATCCCATCTCTACTAAAAATACAAAAATTAGCCAGGCGTGGTGGCAGGTGCCTATAATTCCAGCTACTCAGGAGACTGAGGCAAGAGAATCGCTTGAACCTGGGAGGCAGAGATTGCAGTGAACCGAGATTGAGCCACTGCACTCCTGCTTGGCAACAGAGTGAGACTCTATCTCAAATAAATAAATAATAAAAATAAAAATAAAAAAATTAGCTGGGTGTGATGTCATGTGCTTGTAGTCCAAGCTACTCAGGAGTCTGAAGTGGGAGGACTGCTTAAGCCTGGCAGCTCAAGGCTGCAGCAAGCTAAAAAAAACAAAGAAGGTAAAGTTTATGATATGTATTTTTTTTACCATGATTTAAAAAAATAGCTATTAGAGCTGGGCGCAGTGGCTCACGCCTGTAATCCCAGCACTTTGGGAGGCCAAGGCAGGTGAATCACGAAGTCAAGAGATCGAGACCATCCTGGTAAACATGGTGAAACCCTGTCTCTACTAAAAATACAAAACATTAGCTGGGCATGGTGGCACATGCCTGTAATCCCAGCTACTCAGGAGGCTGAGGCAGGAGAATTGCCTGAACCCAGGAGGCGGAGGTTGCGGTGAGCCGAGATCGCACCATTGCACTCCAGCCTGGGTAACAAGAGTGAAACTCTGTCTCAAAAAAAAAAAAAAAAAAAAAAAAAAATAGCTATTAGCCCACAAAAAGACATTGCTAAGTGAAAGAAGCCAATCTGAAAAGGCTACATACAGGCCGGGCGCGGTGGCTCACGCCTGTAATCCCAGCACTTTGGGAGGCCGAGGCGGGTGGATCACGAGGTCAAGAGATGGAGACCATCCCGGTCAACATGGTGAAACCCCGTCTCTACTAAAAATGCAAAAAATTAGCTGGGCATGGTAGCACGTGCCTGTAATCCCAGCTACTCAGGAGGCTGAGGCAGGAGAATTGCCTGAACCCAGGAGGCGGAGGTTGCGGTGAGCCGAGATCGCGCCATTGCACTCCAGCCTGGGTAACAAGAGTGAAACTCCGTCTCAAAAAAAAAAAAAAAGAAAAGGCTACACACTACATACTATATCATTCTAACTGTATGACTTTCTGGAAAAGTCCAGTATATAGACAACGAAAAGATCAGCTGTTGACAGTGAATGGGGAGGAGGGAGGAAGGGATGATAGGTGGAACCCAGGAGATTTTTAGAGCAGTTAAACTATTCTGTATTGTGATTACATTACATCATGCATTTGTTACAACCCATAAAATGTACAACATAGACTAAGCCCTCATGCAAACTGTACACTTTAGTTAATAATAATGTATCAGGCCAGGTATGGTCGCTCATGCCTATAATCCCAGCACTTCAGGAGGCCGAGGTGGTTGGATCACTTGAGGTCAGGAGTTTGAGATCAGCCTGGTCAACATGGTGAAACCCCACCTCTACTAAAACACAAAAATTAGCCGGGTGTTGTGGTGCACACCATTAGTCCCAACTACACGGGAGGCTGAGGCAAGAGAATCATTTGAACCCGGGAGGCGGAGATTGCAGTGGGCTGAGATGGTGCCACTGCACTCCAGCAACACAAATAATAATAATAATGTATCATGACTGGTTCATCAATTGTAACAATGTACTACACTCATACAAGATGTTTATCATAGACACTGGGGTAAAGATACAGAAAATCCTACTACTTGCTCACTTTTTCTGTGAACTTAAAGACTAGAAAATAGTCTATCAATTAAAATGACACAAAACAAAATGAAGGGAAAAATCAAGTGAATTCCTGCTGTGTGTGCAGCCCCTCCCTGGGAGATGGGTAGCCTCCCCGCTACTACCAAGCTTGAGGCTAAGTCCTGGACTCAGGGGCCTGAAGGTTGTCATGGGAAACCACAGGGAAGAACTTAGACCTGGTTGGCCAAGGACAAACAGAGCTTGTGCTGGGAAGAGAAAGGCATTCGAAGAAAGTAGAATAGCATGAGCAAAGAGGTGGAGAAAGGAGCTTGCTGTTATGCGGCGTTGGGGGAGGACAGGCCAGATAAGAAGGCAGATGGTGGGAAACAAGGGGGCTGTGGGCACATACATGGCTAGCAGAGGCAGGAGCCTGACTGGAGAGGGCCTCAAAAGCCAGGTCTCCCTGGTCTCCCTCTGCGCAGGCCCAGTTTTATGCCACTTCTGGCAAAGCCCTGCCAGCTGCAGTTTATCAAGCACCTGCTACATGCCAGGCAGGTAACAGGCATAGTCCAGGGACTGGCTGTTAACATCACGCTACTCCGCAGCCTTGGGTTCAGAGGGCCGTTGAGAGACACAGATCAGATGGATGAAGACAGTGAGAGGAAGAGGGACAGAGAGAAGGAAGAGAGAGAAGACAGAGACCAGAGAGGACAGCGAGGGATGAGACAGGACAGAGAGGGACAGGAACAGAGGACAATGACAGAGCAGGCCAGAGAGAGCAACTAGAAATCAAGGACAGAGAGACGGGACAGCAAGAGACAGGCAGGACATGAGGGACAGCAAGAGACGGAGGCTTGCCAGGTGCCGTGGTTCATGCCTGCAATCCCAGCACTTAGGGAGGCCGAGGCAGATGGATCATGAGGTCAGGAGTTCAAGACCAGCATGACCAACAGGGAGAAATCTCGTCTCTACTAAAAATACAAAATTAGCTTGACATGGTGGCACATGCCCATAATCCCAGCTACTCAGAAGGCTAAGGCAGGAGAATCGCTTGAACCTAGGAGGCGGAGGTTGCAGTGAGCTGAGAACGCACCATTGCACTCCAGCCTGGGCAAAAAGAGCGAAACTGTCTCAAAAAAAAAAAGAGACAGAGGGTCTCAGGAGATGAAGGGCAGAACATGATAACTGGCAGCCAGGGCTGCTCCTGCCCCACAGAGCTGCAGAGACTGGAGGCCTGTGTCCAGACGCCAACACCACCACCGACCAGCTATGACGTGGGCAGGCCCCCAAGTCCCCATTTTTGTTTTTTGTTTTTTATGAGACAAGAGTCTCACTCTGTCACCCAGGCTGGAGTGCAGTGGCTCAATCTTGGCTCCCCACAACCTCTGCCTCCCGGCTTCAAGCCGTTGTCCTGTCTCAGCCTCTGGAGTAGCTAAGATTACAGGCGCCCGCCACCACGCCCGGCTAATATTTTGTATTTTATTTTTAGTAGAGACTGGGTTTCACCGTATAAACCAGGATGGTATCTATCTCCTCACCTCGTGATCTGCCTGCCTCGGCCTCCCAAAGTGCTGGGATTACAGGGGTGAGCCACCATGCTGGGCTTTTTTCTTTTTCCCTTTTTTTTTTTTTTTTTGAGATAGGGACTTGCTCTGTTGCCCAGGCTAGAGCCCAATGGTCCAAACTGAGCTCACTGCAGCCTCGAACCCCTGGGCTTAAGCAATCCTCCTGCCTCAATCTTCGAGTATCTGGGACCACAGACCCGTGCCACCATGCCTGGCTATTTTTTTCTTTCTTTTATTTTTTATTTGCAGAGATGGGGCTGGCCTTGAACTCCTGGGCTGAAATGATCCTCCCACGTTGGCCTCCAAAAGTGCTGGGATTACAGGCATGAGCCTGGCCACCCGCCAGGCCCCGTGAATGGTGAGGATGAGGCAGCACCGCCCCTGGGCAGGGTTGGGGACTGGGCCTAAGGGTAGAACACACAATGCATACTCCATGTGAGCAGCTGGACCACCAGGTGCAGGATCTTAACACGGGGTCCAAACCAGGGTTCAGAGTGCACACTGAGGCCACTCTGGCGCAGCGGGGAGGAACTGGGCTGCAGAGACCACGTCCTCCTCGGCTTACCAGGCTTGACCAAGCAGGGAGCACGAGCACAGCAGGCCAGGCTGGGTCACCCGTGAGGAGGGCGCGCCCCCTAGTGGCCGCCTGCCCCTTCTCTCCCAGTCCTGGAGACACCTTTACCCAGTGGGAAGAGCTGGGAGGGAGCAGGATCTGCCTTCAGTGGTCCTGGGAGGCAGACCTGCTCCATTCACACAGCGGCGGGACAGGAGTGGAAACCAGAAGCAGGGAGGTTTCCCTGCCAGAAGCGAGATGGAGTGGGGGTGGGCGTGCATTCTGGTGGGAAGCCCCATAACCAGGCCCGCATCCCCATCACCATCAGGCAGCCCATGGCATGAGCAGCTCCAGTGCATAAACCGAGAATCATGTGCCCAGCCACTGCAAAGAGGGGGTCAGGCTCCCTCCTGCTGTGGGGTGAGCCCATCCATCAGCGCCAGCCACAGCTCAGGACAAGCCCTTGCCCTCTGCACACCCATGGGCATCACCAGCTGCCCTATAGCCATAGGCTGCCCCCGACTCCCGGCTCCATACTGCCAGGGTTTCTGGTATAGGATGCCCCCACCAGGAGGTACCCCTTTTACAGCAAAAGAAGAGGGCAGCAGACCCGGGGCTGAGGCACCCATTGGCCCTAGCCTGTGCTGACAGATGGAGCTTGGAGGCGATGCTGCATCCCCACAGGTGGAATTCCTAGGTCCAGGAACCAGGAGAAGTAGAGGGAGTCGTTCTACTAAGCATCACTCCCACGACCCACTTGGGAAATGTGTGCTTCTCATCTTTGCAACTTTAAGCTCTGGGTCTAGTGGGGGAAACTTGTCTATTGGTGAAGCAGCATGAGCTCCTCTGTGCTGACTCCTGACTCTTCCTGGCAAGACACCAGCAAACAAGGAGAAGTGGCCAAGCTGGTGACCCACAGGGCTGCTCACTGTCCTTCCCTGTACAACTGTGATGGTAAATGGGGCTTGGACTCCCAGGAGGGGGGCCTGGACCACCACACCAGTGACAGAAGGGTAGAGAGAGTTTGCCACCATCCCAAGGCAGCCATCCCTGAGTCCTGCTGAGACTGCCCAGGCCATCTGCTCTGCCTGGCATGCCTGTCCCCTCCTTCTCAGCCAGGGCTCATCCCTCAAGGACCGGCCTCAAGCTCACTCTGCCTGGGAAGCCATCCCCGGCAGGGTTAGGCTGGAGCACACATACCAGATCTCCTCCAGCAGAGGCTACCCCAGAGGCCTTATTGATGCCCAGAGCTCAGGCCAGTGTCCTCCGCTCAATGAATACCGCAAAAGAAAAACGGATCAAGACTGGGAGAGGCAGCTTCCACAAAAGGAGAGTACAGAAGAGAAAGCTGGACTAGGGTCCGTCCAAGTATGCAGAAACCTGGGGTGGGACACTCAGGTCTGGTCCACCTCCCCGCCCTGCCAGCTCCTGTCTGGCTCCATTCCCACATCTCTCAGCCTGTCTTCACGTGTCTTCAGGCCCAGCACACCTCCAGAAGGGCCCTGATGGGTACCCTTGTCTCCGGTGACCCCAGCAAGTCTTCAGAGACCCTTCATGGTGCCCAGGGCCACCTCCCTAGGGAAACCCTCTGACCCTGGTCTCGGGCCCCAGCCAGGTCCTGGCTTTCCTCCTCCCACCTCCTTCCCTCAGGAGACTCTTCTCATCCCCTCCTGGGGCAGCACTACATGGTCAGCAAATCAAACAATCTCGACCTTTTCACCTGCAGCCCTGACTCTGCTCAGAGCCATGCTGGGCCCAGACTCCACTGATACATCTAGGTACCACTGGCAGCTCAACAAGGCTGCAGCCAGCCCGGAGCAGCTCTGCTCGGAACATTCACACCAGGTGCCCCTCTATTGAGCACCCCCTCCCTGCCACAGTGCATCCCAGTCCCAGTGACAGGCCTCTCCTCCTACCTCAGGACCGCCAAACCTCTCACTCAACCCTTTTCAAACATTTGGCTTCCTCCTCCCAAAGGTGTCTCACCACCGGCCACATGTCCCTGGCCTGTCCAACCAGCTCAAAGCACCACGTCCCTCTTGCAGGGCCCGGGTAACGGGTCCTCTCGTCTGTAACTGTCTTTGATGGAAGTTGCCTCCCTAGCAGCTAGGGCCAGGCCCAGCACCTGTGTGCAGACACCACTTAACTAGAGTCTCATGGAAAGGCTGGTGGTTCAGATACAACAGACAGGTGGCCAGGGGAAGCTAGAGTGGGGACGTTACGGTGCAAACTAGGGACCAGGATGGGCTCCGACAGGGACCCAGGAGGGGTGGGGTCTTCCAGATGCAGGTGAGTGGGGGTGTCAGGGGCAGCTGATGAGCGGGGCACACAGATGCCCATCCTGACCTCAGTGCTCTGCTGTCCCCTAAACAGCAAGCCTGGAAGGCCCAGCCCAGGGGTCCCAGGCCAGGAGACCTGCACAGAGCCCCATAGGGGCTCCCTGCCTGCCTGCTCACCTTGCACGCCGTACCCACGAGGGCTCCGTCCCGGCTCCAGATGGCGCTCTGCACCAGGTCCCCATGGGCTGCCAGCTCTGCAAAGAAGCAGCAAAGGTTAGGCCCCAGGCAGTGAGGGCACCAGGGAAGTGGGTGGGGTGGGCCCTGCTGGGGCAACTCCCACAGCAAAGGCAGCAGCTACAAGGGTCCCTATCAACCAAGGGGGCAGGGGCAGCAGCTCCTCCCACACAGGCTTCCCTGCACCACGGCTGCTTCCTTCACCCCACCTCTGTGCAGCTATACATCACTCAACTACCTTCTGAGGCTCCCTGCTCCCCAGCTGTCTCTCTCATCCCTCCCAGGCTCACTTCCAACACAGGCCCCACTCCACAGGGTCATTCTCACTCTAAGCCTCTGCTCCTGCCATCTGTACTCTCCCTCACTAGTGTGAGATCTTAAAATACGTCTACATCCTCTGCAACTCCTCCTGTTCCAGGTTGAATTGTACTCCTCTAAAAAGATGGTGAAATCCTAACCCGCACTGCTTTTTGGAGTCTCACTGTTACCCAGGCTGGAGTGTACTGGCGTGATCTCAGCTCACTACAATCTCTGCCTCCCAGGGTTCCAGCAATTCTCCTGCCTCAGCCTCCCAAGTAGCTGGGATTATAGGTGCCTGCCACCATGCCCAGCTAATTTTTGTATTTTTAGTAAAGACAGATTTCACCATGTTGTCCAGGCTGGTCTCGAACTTCTAACCCCAAGTGATCTGCCCACCTCAGTCTCCCAAAGTGCTGGGATTACAGGCGTAAGCCACCGCTCCTGACCTAAGCCCCACTACTTAATGAAGGTGACCTTCTCTGACAATAGAATCTTCGCAGATGATCTAGTTAAGTTGAAGTCAGTAAAATGGGCCTTAATTCAACATGCCTGGTATCCTTATGAAAAAGGGAAATTTGAACAAAGAGACAGATGTGTACAGAGGGAAGACGATATGAAGACTCAGGGAGAAGGCGGCCGTGAACAAGCCAAGGAACGCTGAGGCTACAGAGGCTGGGACAGGCATGAATAGACACTTCCTCCCAGCCTCCAGGGGAGCCAACCCTGCCAGCACCTTGACCTCAGACTTCTGGACTCCAGGACTATGAGACAATCAATTTTTTTTTTTTTGAGACACAGTCTCACTCTGTCACCCAGGCTGGAGTGCAGTGGCTCGATCTAGGCTCACTGCAAACTCCCCCTCTCGGGTTCAAGCCATTCTCCAGCCTCAGCCTCCTGAGTAGCTGGGATTACAGGTGCCTGCCACCATGCCTGACTAATTTTTGTATTTTTAGTAGAGACAGCGTTTCGCCATGTTGGCCAGGCTGGTCTCAAACTCCTGATCTAAGGTGATCCGCCCACCTCAGCCTCCCAAGGTGCTGGGATTAGTAGAGACAGGTTTCACGATGTTGGCCAGGCTGGTCTCGATCTTTTGACCTCATGATCCACCTGTCTCAGCCTCCCAAAGTGCTGGGATTATAGGCATGAGCCACCACACCCAGCCAACAGTTTGTTTTCAAAACAAAAAACAATTTCAAGAAATAACAGTGTGGGGGCTAGGCATGGTGGCTCAAGCCTGTAATCCCAGCACTTTGGGAGGCCAAGGCAGGTGGACTGCTTGAGGCCAGGAATTTGAGATCAGCCTGGGTAGCATAGTCAGATCTCATTTCTGCGGGGAAAAAACAAGAAGGTTGGGTGCAGTGGCTCACGCCTGTAATCCCAGCACTTTGAGAGGCCAAGGTAGGTGGATTGCCTGAGCTCAGGAATTCGAGATCAGCCTAGCCAACATGGTAAAACCTCGTTTCGACTAAAATACCCACCCCCCAAAAAAAAAACTAGCTTGGCATGGCGGCATGCGCCTGTAGTCCCAGTTACTCTGGAGGCTGAGGCATGAGAATGATTTGAATCTAGGAGGCAGAGGTTGCAGTGAGCTGAGATCATGCCACTGCACCCCAGCCTGGGTGACAGAATGAGACTCTGTCTAATAATAGTATAATAATAATTTAAAAAATAATAGTCCAGGCACAGTGGCTGGGATTATAAAAGCGCGCCTGTAATCCCAGCACTTTGGGAAACTGAGGTGGCTGGATCATGAGGTCAGGAGTTCGAGACCAGCCTGGCCAACATAGTGAAACCTCGTCACTATCAAAAATACAAAAACTTAGCCCTGCGTGGTAGTGGGTACCTGTAATCCCAGCTATTCGGGAGGCTGAAGGAGAATTGCCCGAACCCGGGAGTCAGAGGTTGCAGTGAACCAAGATCATGCCATTGCACTCCAGACTGGGCAACAGTACGAGACTCCACCCCAAAAAATAAAAAAAAGGCTGGGTGCAGTGGCTCACGCTTGTTATCCCAACACTTTGGGAGGCCAAGGCAGGTGGATCACAAGGTCAGGAGATCAAGACCATTCTGGCTAACACAGTGAAACCTGTCTCAAAAATAATAGTAATAATAATAGCAGTGTGGGTCACGTCTGTAGTATTAGCACTTTGAAGGCTGAGGCAGGAGTATTGTTTGAGCTCAGGAGTTCAAGGCCAGCTAGTGTAGGCAACATAGCAAGACTCCATGTCAAAAAAATCAAAATAAAAGTGTAAGAAAGTTGTTATTCATCTGTCCTCCTGTTCCCACTGGACAGAGTACCCTCTACTGCAGCCAGCTATTATTCTTTACTTCGCTCAGAATCCATATTAACTTAGTTCCATATTTTCCTCCTTAGGTTTGTTCTCTTAATTCAGGGATCAGTATCTTTCAATACATCATAAATATGAAACATTTGGAAAAACCCGTATTAACAAAAAAGACTGGTGAGCTTTTGATAGGATTATGTGTTGTATCTTTTCACGTTACTATGTAGAAATTTGTCATCTTAACATGTCAGCTAGTAGACATAACTGAGACAGTGAATGTAGTCTATTCCATGAACTTTTTTTTGTTTTGTTTTTGTTTTTGTTTTTTTGTTTTTTGAGACGGAGTTTCGCTCTTCTTACCCAGGCTGGAGTGCAATGGCACGATCTCGGCTCTCCGCAACCTCCGCCTCCTGGGTTCAGGCAATTCTCCTGCCTCAGCCTCCTGAGTAGCTGGGATTATAGGCATGCGCCACCATGCCCAGCTAATGTTTCGTATTTTTAGTAGAGACGGGGTTTCACCATGTTGACCAGGATGGTCTCGATCTCTTGACCTCGTGATCCACCCGCCTCGGCCTCCCAAAGTGCTGGGATTACAGGCTTGAGCCACCACGCTCAGCTATTCCATGAATTTTTATGTAATTAACTTGTCAAAAATTTGTAGTTTTTAGTGTACATGTGTTTAACATCTTTTGTCAAGTTTTTCCTTAAGTATTTGATATTTTTTATGTTATTTCAATTTTAATTGTTCATAACTAGAATATAGAAAATTGATTTTTGTGTTAAAAAAGTTATTATTATTATTATTATTATTATATTATTATTTTGAGATGGAATTTTGCTGTTGTTGCCCAGGCTGGAGTGCAGAGATTGTTGCACAATCTGGGCTCATTGAAACCCCCGCTTCCCAGGTTCAAGTGATTCTCCTGCTTCAGTCTTCCAAGTAGTTGGGATTATAGGAACCTGCCACCACATCCGGCTAATTTTTTGCACATTTAGTAGAGATGGGGTTTCACCATGTGGGCCAGGCTGGTCTCGAACTTCTGATCTCAGGTGATCCACCCACCCTGGTCTTTCAAAGTGCTAGGATTACAGGCATGAGCCACTGCATCCAGCCGAAAGTTATTTTTTGTTTGTTTTTGAGACAGAGTCTCACTCTGTCACCCAGGCTGGAGTGCAGTGGAGCACTCTGAACTCACTGCAACCTCCACATCCCAGGTTTAAGTGATTCTCCTATCTCAGCCTCCCAAGTAGCTGGGACTACAGGCGCACACCACCATGCCTGGCTAATTTTGTATTTTTAGCCAAGATGGGGTTTTGTCACTGTTGGCCAGGCTGGTCTTGAAATCCTGACCTCAAGTGATCCGCCCACTTTGGCCTCCCAAAGTGCTGGGATTACAGGCGTGAGCCACTGAACCTGGCTATTATTATTATTTTTTGAGAGAGCATCTTGCTGTGTCACCCAGGCCAGAGGGCAGTGGTGTGATCAAAGCTCACTGCAGCTTTCACCTCCTGGGTTCAAGTAATCCTCTCACCTCGGCCTCCAGAGTAGCTGGGACTATAGGCACATGCCATCACACCTGGCTAATTTTTTAATTTTTTTATAGAGATTGGGTCTCACTATGTTGCCCAGTCTGTTTCAAAATCTTGAGCTCACAATATCCTCCCATCCGGGCCTCCCAAAGTGCTAGTATTACAGGTGTGAGCCACAGTGCCTGTTGAATAAGTTATTTTTTTTTAATGGGAAAAAAACAACAGCTATGAGGATGAAAGTGATGGCTATGGAGAGTGGAAAGAGATGGAGTATTTATTATAGCCCTGGAGAATCTGAAGACTTTTATACTATTGAAGTGTGAAACTTTGACACTTGATTTTAAATTTATGTTACTAAACATGCCAACAAAGAAACAAAGTGCTGTCCAGAGTGGGGCTGCCCTGGGAAGGGTGGCCTGTACCTGTCAGGGGCTGCTGCTTGGCCACGTCCCAGACCTTCACAGTGGTTCCTGATGCGCTCACCAGAACACCGTCCGAGGTGGGGTGGAACTGCAGCACCTCCACTGGGAGCTCCTCGGGGCCCAGCACCACCCCAGGGGCTGAGGGCATGGCCTGGCTGGGCCCTGGCAGTCGCCAAAGTTTTACCTGCAGGAAAGACCGAGTCTGTGAGCCCAGGGCTGGGGGCCTCGCTGCCTCGAGTCGGCTGCCGTGACCCCAGCAAGGTCCCGTGTTGGAACCAGGCTACTCCAGGAGACCACACCTTTGGCCTGTCAGTGACGGGAGTGCCCAACTGCCTCAGCTTGCTTGAGCCAGAGGCTGCATACCCCACAACCCAGAAAGGAGAGAGGGAATCTCAGCACCTAAGGCAAGGTCTGAGGCTGCAGAAAGATGAGAGAGTTCAGGCAGGGGCGCTGCTGTCTCCCGCAGCCTCCCTGTCTGCTGTCCTCAGGCTCTAGGTCAGGTCAGAGGTAGGGCTTCAGGCAAGCCCTTTGGAGACAGTGTGAGGCCAGCAACTCAGACCAGCCTGGGAGCTGGGTGGGAGCAGGGAGGCGCAGGACTGGGAGGGAGCCGAGTCCTGTGGGGGTGGGGGTGGGACTCAGAAGGCCCTGGACCACAGGCTGGGACCTGGAGTAGCTCTTCCAACTGGCTCCACTCACCGTCCTGTCGGCAGAGCCCGTGGCCAGGAGGAAGTCATCAAAGGGCGAGAAGTCCAAATCGGTGACCAGGTCTGTGGGAGAGGAATGGCTGAGCCCACCAGAACGTCCTGCTTCCAACCCAGTGTGATTCCCCCTCAAGGCCAGGAAGCAAAGCCCCGGGCTTCTGAGGTGACACCTTGTGCTCACACAGAAGTGGGCTGCAACTCTACAAGGCCCCTCCATACACCATGGGGGCAAACGCCAGAGGCCCCTCCTGTGACACATGTCCCTGAGGCTCTGCTGACCCAGGGTGACCCAAGGGCTCTGGCATCAGGAGGTTGGCAGAAAATGGGCAGGAAGCCCTTGGGTCATGAGGCACCTGCAGAAATGCAGCCACCTAGCCTGACCCCTCCTAGGGCAGCATAGCCCGCTGTTCCTTCAGTCGTGGAAGGTCCCCAGGAGTCACCTAATAAATTGCTTCTCGGTTAAGCAAGCTGGAATTGACTTTAGTACTTTGCAACCAAAGAACCTGAGTGTGATGGCTCACGCCTGTAATCCCAACACTTTGGGAAGCCAAGGCAGGCGGATCACTTGGGCTCAAAAGTTCAAGATCAGCTTGGGCATCATGGTGAAACCCCATCGCTTAAAAAAAATATAAAAATTAGCTGGGTGTGGTGGTGGGTACCTGCTACTTAGGAGGCTGAAGCAGGAAAACTGTTTGAACTCAGGAGGCAGAAGTTGCAGTGAGGGGAGATCATACTACCGCACTCTAGCCTGGGTGACAGAGCCAGACCTTGTCTCAAAAAATAAACGGCCAGGCACGATGGCTAATGCCTGTAATCCCAGCACTTTGTGGGGCTGAGACGGGCTGATCATGAGGTCAGGAGTTCAAGAACAGACCGGCCAACATGGTGAAACCCCACCTCTAGTATAAAGATACAAAAATTAGCTGGGGCATCGTGGCTTGTGCCTGTAATCCCAGCTACTTGGGAGGCTGAGGTAGGAGAACTGCTTGAACCGGGACCCAGGAGGCAGAGGTTGCAGTGAGCCAAGATCGCACCACTGCACTCTAGCCTGGGCTACAGAGTGAGATTCCATTTCAGAAAAATAATAATAATAATAATAAATAAATAATAAATAAGAACTTGAATGGCTCAGCTCCAGAGGTAGGGAGGGGTAGGTGGGGTGCACAGAGTGAGCCAGACCCCAGAGGAAAATGCAGTGGGTGGTTGGGGAGGTAGAGACTAGGTATGAAGGATGGCAAGGGTTGAGGGTGTGAACAGGATGGTCACCAGAGCTGGGAGCACAGTGACCAGCCCCTGCTAGCTGTCTTCCTCCTAGCCAGAGCAGAAGGAAAAAGACGGGACAGACATGGACAGGAACACCTTTGGATAGCCTTGGCCTGCCTACTGGCTGGCAGGACCACAACAGTCCTGGGCCTAAAGCTACAGAACCCCTGCTGCCCTCACTCTGGGGTGTCCTTGCTGGGCCCAGCAGGGCAAAGTAGGTCCCTAGGCAGGTGTAGCAGCTGGCACAGGTGGGCTGGCATCTCAGGCAGGAATGAGATATAATGATATAATCAGGTAATCTAAGTGCCCAGTGTGTGCTGGCACCACAGGTGCCCAGGACTTGACAAGCATAGACCTCACCAAATCCTCACAAGGGTGTAGCAGGTGGCATTGTGGCAGCATCCCCCACCGGAGGATGAGGACACCAAAACCCAGAGAGGGTAACTGCCCCAATTACATAGCTAAGAGACAAGGCTGGCTTCAGAACCTGTGCTGTTCAGCCTGACATGATGCTACCTTTCCTCACTGGAGCAGGCCCCCAGCTGCCACCCCACAGCCTGGACACCAGAAACGTGTCCAGAAGTTGCTCACCCTCTGCCCCCATGGCCACTGGGCTGAAGGGCAACAGTGGCCCTGAGCCGAGAGGCTGAAGGGGCCCCTGAAGGCAGGGCAGCAGCCAGAGCCTCGCCTGCTCATTTCTCCCCACACTGGCACCTATGAGGCAGGAAGGCACCTGGTACCTCTAGGGCAGGTTCCAAGGAAGCTGGAGCTCAGTTTTCTATGAGAAGCTTCCTGGCAGGGTTGCTCTTGCAGGCGAGGCTCTGATCAGTTGCAGGCACAATAAGGCTACAGACTTGCCCACAGGAGACTAGTCCAGTTTCTATCTGGAAAGCCCTAGTAGCAGGGGGCTCACCACCTTGCAAACACCATCAACTTGGGATGGCTCCCTCATGGGTAAAAAGCTTCAAAAAATCAAACATGAAGCCAGGTACACTGGCTCATGCCTATAATCCCAGCACTTTGGGAAGCCAAGACAGGAGAATCACCTGAAGCTAGGAGTTCAAGACCAGCCTGGGCAACACAGCAAGACCTCATCTCCACAAAAAGTAAAAAAAAGCAGCCCGGCATGGTGGTGTCTGCCTACAGTCCTAGCTACTAGAGAGGCTTTAATCAAACCCAAATATGGGCTCCTACAGACCTGGGTTCTGATTCTGGCCCTGCCAGAACAATCAGTAAGTTCCTTACCTTGCGGGAGTCTCAGTTTTCTTAGCTATAAAATGAGTTATTGTTTTAAAATCTACTTCAAAGAGATTTGAGATTAGATGAAAACACAGACTTGTTAAACAAGCTGCAACACAGATGGATCTCTAAAACATGCTACGTGAAAGATGCCAGATTCAAAAGACCATGTATTGCGTGATTCCATTTACATGAGATGCGCAGGAGAGGCCACTCGATAGAGCGGAGGTCAGTAAATATCTCCTGCAAAGGGTAAGGTAGTAAATACTCCAGGATTTCAGGGCTCAACAGTCTCGGTCACAACTCAACTCTGCAGTTGTTGCAAGAAAGCAGCCACAGACTACACATCAATGAATGGGTGTGGCAGTGTTCTAATAAAACTATTTACAAAAACAGGCAGCCAGCTGGATCTGACCGTGACAGTGGTTTGCAGACCTCTGCCACAGAGGCAGGAAGCAGATCAGATGTTGCCTGAGGCTGTGGTAACTGAGGTGGAAACAGATTAACTGCAAAGGAGCACAAGGGATCTTTTGGGAATGATGGAAATGTTCTAAAATTGGATGGCAGTGCGCATCATGACTTGGTAATTTTAATAAGAATTATCAGGCTCTTCATTTAAAACAGGTAATCCAACCAGCCTCAACACTTTGGGAGGCCAAGGCCTGAGGATAGCTCAAGGCCAGGAGTTCAAGGCCAGGCAGGGCAACATAGCAAGACCCTATTTTAGAAAAAATTTTTAGGCCGGGCACGGTAGCTCAAGCCTGTAATCCCAGCACTTTGGGAGGCCGAGGCGGGTGGATCACGAGGTCGAGAGGTCAAGACCATCCTGGTCAACATAGTGAAACCCCATCTCTACTAAAAATACAAAAAACTAGCTGGGCGTGGTGGCGCGTGCCTGTAATCCCAGCTACTTAGGAGGCTGAGGCAGGAGAATTGCCTGAACCCAGGAGGCGGAGGTTGTGGTGAGCCGAGATCGCGCCATTGCACTCCAGCCTGGGTAACGAGAGTGAAACTCCGTCTCAAAAAAAAAAAAAAAAAAAAAGCCGGGCGCGGTGGCTCAAGCCTGTAATCCTAGCACTTTGGGAGGCCGAGGCGGGTGGATCACGAGGTCGAGAGATCGAAACCAACCTGGTCAACATGGTGAAACCCCGTCTCTACTAAAAATACAAAAAATTAGCTGGGCATGGTGGTGCGTGCCTGTAATCCCAGCTACTCAGGAGGTTGAGGCAGGAGCATTGCCTGAACCCAGGAGGCGGAGGTTGCGGTGAGCCGAGATCACGCCATTGCACTCCAGCCTGGGTAACAAGAGCGAAACTCCGTCTCAAAAAAAAAAAAAAAAAAGAAAAATTTTTTTAAAATTAGCTGAAGGGGGCTGGGCGCGGTGGCTCAAGCCTGTAATCCCAGCAATTTGGGAGGCTGAGGTGGGTGGATCATGAGGTCAAGGGATCGAGACCATCCTGGTCAACATGGTGAAACCCCGTCTCTACTAAAAATACAAAAAAATTAGCTGGGCATGGTGGCACGTGCCTGTAATCCCAGCTACTCAGGAGGCCGAGGCAGGAGAATTGCCTGAACCCAGGAGGCGGAGGTTGCGGTGAGCCAAGATCGCGCCATTGCACTCCAGCCTGGGTAACAAGAGCGAAACTCCGTCTCAAAAAAAAAAAAAAAAAAAAAAAAAAAAAAAATTAGCTGAAGGGGTGGTGGCATACACCTGTGGTCCTGACAACTTGGGAGGCTGAGGTGAGAGGATTGCTTGAGCCCAAGAGGCCGAGGCTGCAGTGAGCCATGATCATGCCACTGCATTCCAGCCTGAGTGACAAAGCAAGACCCTGTCACAAAAACAAAAACAAACAAAAAACAAGTAATATTGATTGGGCATGGTGGCTCATACCTGTAATGCCAGCACTTTGGAAGGCTGACTTGGGAGGATTGCTTGGGCCCAGGAATTTAAGGCCAGCCGGGACAACAAAGCAAGACCTCGTCTCTACATACATACTTTTTAGAAGTTTTTTTAAAGGGCCAGGCGCGGTGGCTCAAGCCTGTAATCCCAGCACTACAGGAGGCCGAGGCGGGTGGATCACAAGGTCAAGAGATCGAGACCATCCTGGTCAACATGGTGAAACCCCATCTCTACTAAAAATACAAAAAATTAGCTGGGCGTGGTGATGAGTGCCTGTAATCCCAGCTACTCAGGAGACTGAGGCAGGAGAATTCCCTGAACCCAGGAGGCGGAGGTTGCAGTGAGCCAAGATCGAGACATTGCACTCCAGCCTGGGTAACAAGAATGAAACTCTGTCTCAAAAAAAAAAAAAAAAAAAAAAAAAGTTTTTTTAAAAAGTTTAGATGAGAAAACTGAACTGAAGTACTTAGTACAGAGAGCACTCTCCATAAATCTTTACTGATGTTAGTAACTACCATCATTATCATCATCAGAACCCCTCCACCGCCCTGTACACCCAGCCTGAGGACCAGGCATCAATCGCCCTCCCTTACCCGAAGGCCTCCCAACCAGCAGATGGGAATGCAGGCCAGAAAGACTGGGCCCGTGGCCACCGTGGCGGGACAGGGAGAGGCGATGCCAGCTGGGCCGCTCTGCCTCCAACTGAGGAGAGCAAACTGTTCCCTCAAGGCAGGCAGGCTGCCAGGCAGGCTGCTGGGTGCCCCCAGAAGCAGCTGCAGCAGACAAAAGATCCCTTTGTGAGGGCCCATCTCCATCCCTGCAGCCCAGCACAGCCGCCTCCTGGGCGGCTGGGCTGGGGAGGATGCCTCGTAGACTGGGGGCTCCAGGAGATACAGGGCTCAGAGCCATCCAGTAAGGAGTCCTTGGTAGGGACAGGGAGCCAGCATCAGCCTGGACCCCAGGAGTGGCCACTGCACACTCCGCTCCAGCCAGCTCACAAGTGGAGCACACAGCTTCCCTCCTCTCTGCCCAGGACAGAATTCTACACCAGGATGAAGCCTTCTGAGCCCCACCGTCTCTCAGAGAATGCACAGACAGGGAGACAGGAGGGACCCGGAAAGCCATGGGGTGGTGGGACCAGGTGAGGATGAATTTCTGGCCCTGGGAAGGGAGGTACAAGTACCAGGCTTCACCCACTAGACAGGCACCCACTCACCTGAATGGCAGCCCAGGTGGGCCACGCATCGCTTGTCCTCTCCTTGGCCTTGCAGAGGCACAATGCCCAGTACACCTGTTAAACAAACAGAGGGGCTCTGACTTCAGGCCCCAGAGAATCACCAACCTTCCTGCCTAGGGCTCCCAGAGGAGATGAGACCCAGCAGCTCAGCCTCGGACCTTCCCAGAGCCTCCATCAATCACAAGATCACATCCTCTGCACACAGTGATGCCCCACAGGTAGGTTCTGGACCCATGCATGAACCATCCATTCCTCGGATGGATACAGAAGACGTTAGGCAAGGTCTTTTTTTTTTTTGAGACGGAGTTTCGCTCTTGTTGCCCAGGCTGGAGTGCAATGGCGCGATCTCGGCTCACCGCAACCTCCGCCTCCTGGGTTCAGGCAATTCTCCTGCCTCAGCCTCCTGAGTAGCTGGGATTACAGGCACGCGCCACCATGCCCAGCTAATTTTTTGTATTTTTAGTAGAGACGGGGTTTCACCATGTTGACCAGGATGGTCTGGATCTCTCGATCTCGTGATCCACCCGCCTCGGCCTCCCAAAGTGCTGGGATTACAGGCTTGAGTAGGCAAGGTCTTTTTTCACACAAGGTCCTCTCTTTTTCACACGAGTTGTACAAAAGGGAGTTTGGGGCTTTTGTATGGGGCTTATGGCTACCATTTGCCACTTTTCCCATCTTCACCTGAGAAAGAAGACAACACTTAAGGTGGCAGATGTGAGAGATCCAGAGAGGTCAGGGCCGACAGTACATGTGACCCTTTGGGTACCAATCTGCCTGAAACCCCTGACCTCTTAGTTAGGCTGAAACGTTATCCATTTTTTTTTTTTTTTTTTTTTTTGAGACAGAGTGTCGCTCTTGTTACCCAGGCTGGAGTGCAATGGCACGATCTCGGCTCACTGCAACCTCCACCTCCTAGGTTCAAGCAATTCTCCTGCCTCAGCCTCCTGAGCAGCTGGGATTACAGGCACGCACCACCATACCCAGCTAATTTTTTGTATTTTTAGTAGAGACGGGGTTTCACCACGTTGACCAGGATGGTCTCGATCTCTCGACCTCGTGATCCACCCGCCTCGGCCTCCCAAAGTGCTGGGATTACAGGCTTGAGCCACCGCGCCCGGCCAACGTTATCCATTTTTTTGCTTAAGCCAGCTTGAGGTCTGAGTTACCAGTGGCAATCAAGACAGTGCCAACCAACAAGTGGGCTTTTCAAAGCCTGTGTTCCTAGCCATCCAGGGCCCACAGATGAGGAGCAGGGAGCACAAGGGACAGCTGGAAATACAAGTGTCAGTCCCCTCCCAGCCCTCCTGGCCACGTTCTTACATGTGGTTTCTACACACATATGCCCTAATCGAAAGCAGATTACTGCATGTTTACCAGTTTGTGGGGTTCTAAGGCCTGACATGGGGTTCACCTGAGCCCCCAAAGGCTGTTCTGTTCCAAGTCTCCAACCACACTAAGCCTGCCCCTGCTCCCCACCCCATCTACGGTGACGATGACCAAATAGGTGAGCAAATTGCCACACTCATGGCCACCCCCCACCTGGACAGTCGGAGTTGAAGGCGATCAAGCTACAGCTTGATTTAATGTGGTTCCTGCATGAAGGGGCAGTTCCTGCTCGAATGTTGCTGATCCAGGCCTGAAAATCAAGAGTGAAGAAGTAAGTGGTGAGATCCAGGGTTCCACCTCCTCACATGCCTAAAGCAAGAGGTGGGGTATAATCCAGGGAATTCTAGCTCAAAGCTGCACCAAATTGAGATGCATTCCTTTATTTACTTGTTTTCTTTTTGGGACAGAGTCTCGCTCTGTCACCCAGGCTGGACTGTAGTGGTGTGATCTCAGATCACTGCAACCTCTGCCTTCTCAGCCACCATACTCAGCCGTGATATATTCCTTCAGATCAAACTCTGTCCCCACTCACAAAGTCCCTTAGAAAAAGCAAAATGTACACTGGACACGGTGGCTTATGCCTGTAATCCCAGCACTTTGAGAGGCCAAGGTGGGCGGATCACGAGGTCAGAAGTTCAAGACCAGTCTGACCAATATGGTGAAACCCTGTCTCTACTAAAAATACAAAAGTTAGCCAGGCTAACTACAAGTGGTGGTGCACACTTGTAATCCCAGCTACTCGGGAGGCTGAGGCAGGAGAATCGCTTGAACCCGGGAGGCAGAGATTGCAGTGAGCCGAGATCGTGCTACTGCACTCCAGCCTGGGCAACAGAACAAGATTCCATCACAAAAAAAAAAAAAAAAAAAAAAAAAAAGGAAAAAAAGGAAGAAAACACAAAATGTGGGCCTGACGCAGTGGCTCACACATGTAATCCCAGCACTTTGGGAGGCCAAGGCGGGCACATCACCCAGAGGTCAGGAGTTTGAGACCAGCCTGGCCAGCACGGCAAAACCCCATCTCTACTAAAACACAAAAATTAGCCAGGCATGGTGGTGGGCACCTATAAGCCCAGCTACTGGGGAGGTTGAGGCAATCATTTGAACCAGGGAGGCGGAAGTTGCAGTGAGCCGAGATGATGCAACTGCACTCCAGCCTGGGCAACCAAGTGAGACTCAGTCTCAAAAACAAACAAAAAAAGGAAAACGCAAAATGTGGCCAGGCCTCCTCCAAGTACCAAGAGAAAAATCACCTAAGCTCAGAGAGGGGAACAGTCAAGGCCTGGCCTCATCAGGATACACCTCTCCAAAAAGTCTCCTAAGTGAGTGAAAGGCACACACCCCCACTCAAGGGGAGGCAAAGGAGTGCTTTTCTGAAACTAAGATCTGCAAGGTACACATATTTTCTGTTGTCATCAAAGCACCACTCAGCATTCTTTCCTGCCCTCAATGACAGAACACCTACGTTTCCCAATCCACCCATCCGTAGCACCCTGGAAACCACCTCCACCACCTGAAGTTTCTAGATCAACGTTAACCTGCTATGGTTAGAGTGTCAGTTCCACCCTATTATTTCTCCCTCCTGATTCGTGTTTACTGTATAAACACAATGACTGGAAATATCTCTGAAAAGAACAGATCACCTGTACTCCCACCTCCCAACATAAACTGTTTTAAGTTCTCCCTACAGTCTGGGGTGCCATACCTATTTGCTTATGTTGCTGGACTGAGGCCCACCCAGGAGCAGGAACCAGGGCCCATCAAGTATTCTCCAGACTCCTCCAAGCGGTACTTGAGTCACTGACTGTCTTGATGCAAACATAGGTACTTCCTCCTAACTTTTTTTTTTCTTTTTTTATACAGAGTCTCACTCTGTTGCTGAGAATGGTATGTACTGGCAGGATCTCGGCTCACTTTGACCTCTTCTTCCTGGGCTCAAGTAATCCTCCAACCTCAGCCTCCGAAGCAGCTGGTACCACAGGAATGAGCCACCATGCCTATTTTTTTTTTTTTTTAACTTGTTGTACAGAGGGGTTTTGCCATGTTTCCCAGGCTGGTCTTGAACTTCTGAGCTCAAAGCAATCCACCCACCCCAGCCTCCCAAGTACTAGGATTATCATAAGCCACGGTGTCCAGTCCCTCCCCCTAACTTTTCAATGGCTCTCCACTGCATTCAGAGTAAAACCCAACTTCTTCCGGTGGCCCTGGGATTCTGCAGGACTACTCTGGACTAATTTGTCCATGCTGTTCCAGCCACTCTGCTCCATTCACTGTGACTCACTTTCCATTCCTCCACAGGCTCTTTCGCAATTCTCACCCTTCTGTCCTCAGCTGAAATGCCACCTACTCCAGGCAGCCTTTCCTGACCACCCTACTGAGATTAGCCCCCTTCCCTCCATTCTCCATTCCAGCCCCTCAGGCGTGCTCTTTAATGTCCTTACGAAAACCTGCAATGCTCTGCTTGCTATCTCTCTCATGAGGCTACAAGTGCCACAGGGGAAGGAAAATGCCATTGTGTTCCCCGAGATGTCTCCAGCAGCTCAGTAAAGCATAAAGTAGGAGCAGAGGCAATATTATCCAGATGACAAAAACGGAGTCTCTACCCAGACTGCCCTGACTTGCTCTGGTTCCCTAATGGGGTCACTTGAGGTCAATTCCTAGGCCCAATTATCGGAGGACACTCCCAGTCCTTCCAAATAACACCGAAAGCGGCAGGGCAGAGCAGAGCTGACATCGTCTCTAAAGCACACCTCTCATCAGTCCTCCTGCCCTTCCGGGGGTCCGAAGTGTCTCCTGGCAACTGGCTCAGCAATTCTAGTGGGGCTCCACCTGCTCAGGCTTCCCCAGGCCCTACTCAGCCGCGGCAGCATCACCGAGATAAGGGAAGAGGCTGCGCCAGCAGCGACAGGAGGAAGCGCCGGCGGAAACCCGAGGGAGGGGCGCGTGCTGCCGTGGCGCTCCCCCAGCCGCTGATACCCTCGGGCTCGCCGGGGCCCGGGAAGAGAAGGGCGTTTCCTCACAGTCCAGCCCGGGGCAGGGGCGACCCGGGGTGGCAGGGAGGAGGAGACAGGCGCCGGCAGCGCCCCGAGCCGCTGCTCCCGGCGAGGCCAACCGGAAGCTGGGAAGGCAGGCGGCCTTGCAGATCTGGGCGCCGACCAGGAGGGCTGCGCCGCCTCGGGGGTCCCAAGGAGAGGTGGGCGAGGCGGGCAGACCGCCGGGGTAACCGAGCGCCAGAGCGAGTCACCGGAGAGCCGGACTCTGCCCACTGGCGGCAACGAAACGGCCCAGACGCCGGGTCCCGGGCCTGAAGGAGGTTCCACGGGGTTGGAGGGCTCAGGGGTTCCAGGAGGCCCTGGCGGGTCCCCTTGCGGAGTGCCGGCAGGGGGAAGGGCAGCCAGCCAGGGCCCCAGGCGACAGCGCACTGTCCGCGGGCTGGACTTACTTCACGGCGGGGCGGCCGAGCCTCCGTGTGCCGGAACTTGGACACCTTGAAGCGGTTCATGGCGACGGCGACGGCGGCGGACGAGGCTTCGAGGACCCGGGGCGTCGACTCTCAGGTGCACGCCGAACAACTGCGACTCCCGCTGCCTCGGCCCCACCCGGGGCCCGGCGCCGCGGCCACACCTCCGGCACACCCTCTGCCAATCGCAGCCGCCTCCGGCCCGCTAGGCCACGCCCCGACCCCGCCTCTTCTTTCTCGCGCGCACCGCCGGCCCCGCCTCCCGGCCAATCGCGGCTCGGCAGCCCCGCGAGGCAACGCTCTGATGTTGAGGGGAGGGACAGGCGCGGGTGGGAGGTCACGTGGGGCGCAGCTGTCCGCCCACGGCCCCTGCGGTGCTTGCTCGCGTGGGATCTAGGCTGTAGCAATCGCGATTTCGTGTGCAGGATTTGCTGTGGAGTCTTTGTGGTGTGCCTAGCACGCCTTCCAGCACTGTTTACCTCTTCCCGCAGAAAGGGGAGAAATTAACAAGCTCCATTTGAGAGACAGGAAACGCCCGGCTCAAAGAGAGTGTAAACCGTTAGTCCCCAGGTCACACCAATGGTAAGAGGCAGAGGGGGAACTGGAGCCCAGATGTAAAGCAAATCCCTGTCCTCCGGGCCTACTCAAAAGCCTCTGCATCCGGCCAGGAGTGGTGGCTCATGTTTATAACCCCAGACTTTGGGAGGCTGAGGCAGGAGGATACTTTCAGCCTAAGAGGTAGAGGCTGCAGTGAGCTGCGATCGTGCCACTGCACTGAGGCCTGGGGGACAGAAATAGACTCTGTCTCTAAAAATAATTATAACTTTTAATTTGTCTGTATGTATGTATGTATGTATTTGACATGGAGTTCACCTCTATCAGCCAGGCTGGAGGGCAGTGGTGCAATCTCAGCTCACTGCAACCTCTGCCTCATGCATTCCAGTGATTCTCTTGCCTCAGCCTCAGGAGTAGCTGGGATTACATGCGCAAGCCACCACACCCGGCGAATTTTTTTTGTATTTTTAGTAGAGACGGGATTTCAACATGTTGGCCAGGCTGCTCTCAAACTCCTGACCTCAGGTGATCCATCTGCTTCAGCCTCCCAAAGTGCCAAAAAAAAAATGTTTTCAAAGTGCATTTTAACCGATAGTCACTTCAGGGGCAGATAAGAAGATCTAAGACACCTGTTGGCATTGAAGCCGGCCTCATTCATCCCTCTCCTCCAGAAATTGATTTGTGGAAATCACTGATTTCCCAGCAGATTAAGTGACAGCAGGTTGGAAACTTCTTTCCTTGGTATCACAGTGAAAAATTGGGACGCAGCCGGGCGCGGTGGCTCATGCCTGTAATCTCAGCACTTTGGGAGGCCGAGGCAGGTGGATCACGAGGTCAGGAGATCGGTACTGTCCTCGCCAACATGGTGAAACCCCGTCTCTACTAAATATACTGGGCATGGTGGTATGCACCTGTAGTCCCAGCTACTCGGGAGGCTGAGGCAGGAGAATTGCTTGAACCCATGAGGCGGAGGTTGCAGTAAGCTGAGATCGTGCCATTGCACTCCAGCGTGGGTAACAAGAGCGAAACTCCGTCTCAAAAAAAAAAAAAAAGAAAAAAATTGAGATGCATCATGAGACTTTTCCAGGCTTTTCTGCTGGTTTTTTGCCCTCTTTTTCCTCACTAGGCCCTTTTTCCTTCTGCTGTGATTTTCTTCAGTTGCATGAACAATTTTTGTGTTTTCCAGAATGAGGGCCTCATTACAAAGAACTCCCAAATTCTTGTTATTAATTATTCTTGAAAACAGGACTTGTGAAATCAAAATCACTATGCCATGCAGCAGGCTAACCAGACATTGTTGTGCTGGAATTTGACCTGCCATTTGAAGGACAGCCATTCAGGTTAGAAAGGTGTCTTCCAGTACCCTTAAGACAAAAACAGTTGAGTTGTCAGCATTACTAAGAGTGTAAAGAAACAAACTGGCTTTGCAGATGTCATCTGGAGCCTTGTCGTATCAGCCATCGTCAACCCCACCGTGTTCGACATTGCCGTTCACGGCGAGCCTTTGAGCCATGTCTCCTTCAAGCTGTTTGCAGACAAGGCTCCAAAGACAGCAGAAAACTCGTGCTCTGAGCACTGGAGAGAAAGGATTTGGTTATAAGGGTTCCTGCTTTCACAGAATTATTCCAGGGTTTATGTGTCAGGGTGGTGACTTCACACACCATAATGACACTGGTGGCAAGTCCATCTACGGGGAGAAATTTGATGATAAGAACTTCATCCTAAAGCATACAGGTCCCGGAATCTTGTCCATGGCAAATGCTGGACCCAACACAAACGGTTCCCAGTTTTTCATCTGCACTGTCATGACCGAGTGGTTGGATGGCAAGCATGTGGTATTTGGCAAGGTGAAAGAAGGCATGAATATTGTGGAGGCCATGGAGCGCTTTGGGTCCAGGAATGGCAAGACCAGCAAGATCACCATTGCCGACTGTGGACAACTTTAATTAAAGTTTGACTTGTGTCTTAACCACCAGACCATTCCTTCTGTAGCTCAGGAGAGCAGCCCTCCACCCCATTTGCTCACAGTATCCTAAAATCTGTGCTCTCGCTGCAGTTCCCTTGGGTTCCATGCTTTCCTTGTTCCCTTCCATGCCTAGCTGGATTGCAGAGTTAAGTGTATGACTAAGAAATAAAGATGAAATAACAATTTTCAAAAAAAAAAAAAAAAAAAAAGACACAAACCTGGTTTTCACAGGTTTGTGGATCGGAGGCCCTCCAGTTCAACTTTGCAATTCACCAAGTAATTTATTCCGCTTAAGTTCGTGGCAGCTGGCTCACTCTGAACTCTCAAGGAATCACTCTCTAGGCTTTCATGGATAAACATATTGTTGAAAAAAAAAGAAAACAGGAAAAGGGATCACTCTCTTCAGCCAGAAAGGATTTAAGAACACGAGACGAATGGTCACTCTCTGGACTCTGGTGATTATTTTTTATTATTTATTTATTTTTGAGATGGAGTCTCACTCTGTGATCCAGGCAGGACTCCGGTGATTATTTTTTATTATTTTTTACTTATTTATTTTTGAGATGGAGTCTTGCTCTGTCGCCCAAGCTGGAGTGCAGTGACACAATCTTGGCTCACTGCAACCTCCACCTTCCAGGTTCAAGTGATTCTTCTGCCTCAGCCTCCTGAGTGTCTGGGATTACAGCCACAGGCCACCATGCCTGGTTAATTTTTTTTCTTTTTTTGAAACGAAGTCCTACTCTGTCACCAGGTTGGAATGCAGTGATGCGATCTTGGCTCCCTGCAACCTGTACCTCCTGGGTTAAAGTGATTCTCCTGCCTCAGCCACCCGAGTAGTTGGGACAGGTGTGTGCCACCACACACAGCTAATTTTTATATTTTTAGTAGAGATGGGGTTTAACCATGTTGACCAGCATGGTCTTGATCTCTTGACCTTGTGATTCACCTGCCTCAGCGTCCCAGAGTACTGGGATTACAGGCATGAGCCAAAACTCAGGATCCCGTTTTTGTTTGTTTGTTTTTTGAGATGGAGTCACACTCTTGAGTCTAGGCGGAGTGCAGTGATGTGATCTCGGCTCACTGTAACCTCCGCGTCCTGGGTTCAAGCAATTTTTCTATCTCGGCCTCCCAAGCAGCTGGGATTACAGGCATGTGCCACCATGCCCAGCTAAATTTTTTTGTATTTTTAGTAGAGACGGGCTTTGACCACATTGGCCAGGCTGGTCTCAAATGCCTGACCTTGTGATCCACCCGCCTCGGCCTCCTGAAGTGCTGGGATTACAGGTGTGAGCCACCACACCCAGCCTGTTTGCTTTTTTTAAGACAGAGTTTCAGCCGGGCATAGTGGCTCATGCCTGTAATCCAAGCACTTTGGAGGCCAAGGTGGGCGGATCACCTGCGGTCGGGAGTTCAAGACCAGCCTGACCAACATGATGAAACCCCGTCTTTACAAAAAATAAAAATTAAAAAAAAAAAAGAGTTTCATTCTTGTTGCCCAGTCTGGAGTGCAATGGCACCATCCAATCTCACTACAACCTCTGCCTCCTGTGTTCAAACGATTCTCCTGCCTCAGTCTCCCAAGTAGCTAGGATTACAGACATGTGCCACCAAGCCTGGCTAATTTTAGTATTTTTAGTAGAGACGGGGTTTCACCATGTTGATCAGTCTGCGTGGTCTTGAACTCCTGACCTCCGGTGATCCACCTGCCTCAGGCTCCCAAAGTGCCGGGATTACAAGTGTGAGACACCTCGCCTGGCTAATTTATGTATTTTTACTAGAAATGGTGTTTCAGGCCGGGCGCGGTGGCACAAGCCTGTAATCCCAGCACTTTGGGAGGCCGAGGCGGGTGGATCACGAGGTCGAGAGATCGAGACCATCCTGGTCAACATGGTGAAACCCCGTCTCTACTAAAAATACAAAAAAAAATTAGCTGGGCATGGTGGCTCGTGCCTGTAATCCCAGCTACTCAGGAGGCTGAGGCAGGAGAATTGCCTGAACCCAGGAGGCGGAGGTTGCGGTGAGCCGAGATCGCGCCATTGCACTCCAGCCTGGGTAACAAGAGCGAAACTCCGTCTCAAAAAAAAAAAAAAAAAAAAAAAAAGAAATGGTGTTTCACCATGTTGCCCAAACTGGTCTTGAACTCCCAAAATGATCTGTGTACCTCGGCCTTCCAAAGTGCTGGGATTACAGGTATGAGCCACTGTACCCGGCCCAGTTTTTTTTTTTTTTTTTTTTTTTGTAGAGATGTTGTTTTACTATGTTGCCCAGGCTGGTCTCCAACTCTTGGGCTCAAACAATCCTCCTGCCTTGGCCTCCCAAAACGCTAGGATTACAGGTGTGAGCCACCATGCCCAGCCATTTTGTCTTTAAAAGAGTTTCTTGGCCAGGCGCGGT